AAGGGAAGGGAAGGGAAGGGAAGGGAAGGGAAAGGAAAGGAAAGGAACAAAACACGTGCAGCCATGCACACAAATGCATACACAAATACGCATATATATATTAACAACCTGGCATCAGACTGTAGCTATTTCTACACTCCTATTTGCCTGCTAGCCTGCCAATGATGCCCCAGAAGAGGTGGGCATGGCATCAAGCTGTGGGTGCTCCCTAAAGTGAGGAACCAGGTTCTGCCCTAGTATATTGTTCTAAAACAACTAGGGCCTAGAGGTGACTCTGGTTAAGAGCATGTTCTCTTCCATAGGCGTGTTACTGTCCCAACACTCACAGAAAGCAGCACATAAAGCCATGACTCCAACTCCAAGGGATCTGACATCTCTGACCTCCTCAGGCATATACGCATGCATTGCATGTACACAAAACACACACAAACACACACACTTAAAAATACATATATACATACATACATACATACATACAAACATACATACATACATACATGAAGCTGGAGCGAAGGTTTGGCAGTTAAGAACACTCGTTGCTCTTGCTGAGGACCTGGGTTCAGTTCTCAGCACCCACACTACGGCTCATAAGACCTGTGACTCTAACTCTAGGGCATCCAACATCCTCCTCTGATCCCCTCTGCTGATGTCTGCAGGCACCAGGCATGTATGTGGTACATATGCAGGGAAAAAAACACTCAATGCATATAAAACAAAAGAAATAAATCTTTTAAAACATTAAAAATTTAGAAAGTAAAATAACTAGAATGATGCTGGGAATTTTAAAGGAACTCCATGAAGAATCTGAAAACCCAAATTACTGTGGGAGGAAAATCATCGAAAGAAAGAAAGAAAGAGAGAAAGAAAGAAAGAAAGAAAGAAAGAGAGAAGAGAAAGAAAGTGAGAAAGAGAGAGAGAGAGAGAGAGAGAGAGAGAGAGAGAGAGAAAGAATCTACATCTCTGTCACTTCTTCCCTCAATGAAGAGCACCAGGTTAAGAAAGATGTCTACATCTGTGTCCTGTCATAACCCTGAGAACCAGAAATGACAACTGTGCCACTCTGGCTGCGTGAAAGCGGATATGGAAGCCCATGGGTGTTTCTAGAAGTTCACAGAGCCCTTCTGACCACTGAGGAGGCTGACGCAGGAAGAAGAGTTCAAGTTCAAAGCCAGCCTGAGCTATACAGGGTGACTCCATCTCAAAAACAAACACCAACTAACGAACAAGAAAAACCAACAAAGCCCAACCCCAAAAATCAATAAATAATAAATAAACAAAGAGAGGAAGGGGAAGGGAGACTGGTAAAGAGAGGGAGAGGGGGAGACAAAACCGAACTCTCATCCCGGAGCCCAAAGAATGAAACAGAGGAACTGCAAAGGTTTGAGACCAGCCAACTCCCTATAGCGAGATCTTGTCTTAACCACCTGCCTCCTGTGCTCCCCACCACCGTAAGAAAACACAGACAGACAGACAGACAGACAGGGGACACTGGCACCAGACCAAGATGAGTCGAATTATTATGAAATGTATTATGAAATGTAGCCTATGATATGCAGCGTTTGGAATCATTAGGAGAAAGAAGGATTCCTCTGAAAAGTCATAAACGAATAGCCCACATGAATGCCTGGCTCTCACAGTGGGGTTTACATATATTACATTTTTAGAAGAGAAAGAATTAAATTAAATTTTCAAATTTATTTGCCAACATTTACACACAGAAAGATGTTTACGCGGTACATTTGTTTGGTGATCCTGCTGGGACTGGGAGCAGTTATTTCTGCAGCACTGACCCAGGGGTTGTCCCACTTCCTTTACTCATGGTGCAGGTTGGCCCTGCAGGCAGTTAAGTTTCAGACACCTCGTATATAATAAAGATAAATAAAAAGTAATTAAAACAGATTACAGACATTTTTTTAAAGGTTAAGAAAATAAATAATAAAGCAATCACTTGGCAGATTCCTCAGGGTGTCAACTGGACAAGCTTGTCTTTGGCTGGAGGGGACAGGATTCCTGTCCACTTGTTCAGGAACCAAGCGTCACTGAGGACAAAGAAGCTAAAGGTCTAAGCCCTTACCCACAGGAAGCGTGGAAGGGGGTGGGAGGGGGTGGGGTGGGCTGCCCACCCACCCCCGTGCTGGGATGGAAGGGCTATGTCTAGAGGGGACTGGGGTCTACAGGGCTTGTGGGTAGGGGGAGCAGTTGGACAGGGATCACGGTTATCTGTGATCGGAAACACACTGACAGAAGAACCTCCGGCTCAGGTTTCCTCCCTGCCATCTGGTCAGTACTCAGGGTGCAGCTTACCAAGGAGACAAGCAGCTGGCAGGTAGGGAAGGAGGGGGGCACACCAATGGAGGCAGGGTCTGGCCAGGCTGGCTCTACCACTGACCTGCTGGACATTGCTGGTCGTCTTTGTTCCTTATCATCTCTGGACCTCATTGAGATGTGAGCAGTGGAGAGGGGCTGGCCTGACAGGGCTGCAGGGGTCAGTGAAGTGGGCCTCTGCTGGGATTGAAACCCAGAAACAAGACAGGAAACTGCTCAGGCAGGGTGTCCAGATACCTGGGAGGTTCCTTCACCCATGAGGGGACCTGACACTTGTTCTTTCTCTACTGTGGAAATAAAAAGGCCAGGGATGTCAAGACCCAGGGACCTTTACCTAAGTGCCCTTTATTTTCCAGAGACATCTTCAAAGGCCTGTCAGACCAGCCCCAACTCTTGGCCTGGTATTGAGCCATTCTTTTCTAAGGATAACTTTGCTGATCTCACAGAGATCAGGGGACATGAAAAGGAGACACTGGACTGCGCCTTTCTCTCTGCATTTTGCCAGCCAGGAACACCCTCCTGTGTCCAGTCCTCCCATCCCTCATCACTGGTGGCCAAAAGGCACCATGGCCAGGTGCCAGGCATGGATAGAGACATCTGAATTCTTCCCCAGATGGGAGCTAGTTACTTTGACTGGCTTTAAGAGTATTATAAGTGCTGGGGTGGCAGGGAATTGGATCAGAATAGAAACTTCATGAGCCTCAGAGCACAAGCAGCCCAGAACCAGCATGTATAAAGCTGGGGCTAAGGGGGTTGAAAGCACCTCAATAGCCTCAATAAAGGATTCCTGTGGATTTCCTACTGAAAAGAGGGCTTGTCCCAAGAACTCTGGAAGGTCAGAGTCAGTACCAGAAATCCTCACTGAGGACACATTCAGGAGAGTTCCAGTGGTCAGGTACTGCACTTTTGACTACTGCCTCTTGATAGTGGAACCAGAACCCCAGAAAGTGAGGCTCCAGAGGGTCAAACCTCGCTGAGGTCATAGAGCTCCGGGGCTGGGGATGTGGGAGGAGAGCTCAGGCCTGAGACCCAGTCTTGGGGGCTCTGAACCCCTAAGAGGTAAAAAGGGGGTAGCCTGTGTCCACCCAAGTGACAAGGTAGAATGGTAGGCTGGAAGAGGAGTACTGTCCACACAGAGTGATCAAGGGAGTGAAAAAAACACCAGCACAACTCTCTAGGGAGGCTGCACCAGGCTGTAGCCCCAGCCTGAGCATCGATCTCCAGGGAAACTGATCCTGAGACTTTGCTGGCTTTTAGTGACACCGGATAGCCTAGGTAGAGGGGGCCAACAATGGCTGCAGGTTTCGTAGCATCCTGTAATAGCTGCTCACTGGTCTGAGACTGGCAACATTGCAATCTCTCCTGTTCAGGATCTCCACCTTAGGTCACAAGGAGAGGGGCTATCCTGGAGACCTCTTGCAAATAGCTCAGGCATGATGGGTAAGCCTTTGGCTTTTGGACATCCCAGGAGTGACAGACATTGAAGCCAGAGGATTATTAGAGCCTCTAGCTTAAAAGATGGGGGTCCCTATGGTACCAGGTCCCAAATGACCCCACTCCTACCACAGCCCTAGCCCCAAAGAGATAGACAAGAAGCCATACTTACTTGAGGATGTCCTTCTTATTGAAGAAAGTGCAGTCCTGTGGAGGGAATACACAAATGGTGTTCTCTTAGAACCCTTACAGCTTTGGTGCCCCATCCAACAGTCCTGGACCCAAAGCAAAAAAGTGCCTACTACTCCCCATTTGTCCTCCAGAGGGACAGCCAATTCTAGGTCCAGAAGATGCTTCCAAAAACTTTTGATCCACGGCCCCTGCCAACTGGGCCCAGGACAGTGAAGCATAGGTGGGGTGGGGCTGGGTGGCACTCTTGAGGGTAGTCAGCAAAGAGGAACACAAGTGGCCACAGTAGATTTCAAGGCCAAGGGGATACATTGTGGGAGATCAGAGGGGTAGCCAATAGACAATTCTAGAGACCACTATAAAGAGGAACAGCAGGGTGCCTCGGCACACCACCAGAGGCACTGAGAATACAGTATCATGTGGGCAGGCAGGGTAAAGTGGATGTCCTAAAGAGCTGTGGGTAGCAGTCCTGAGTTTGGGAACTTACAGTTCCGGACATATGATCTGTGGTGTTAGGACAAGGGATATCACACCGAGGGGGCGTAGAAAGATGGAGGGCCTGACGTATGGGGGCAGAACCTAGAAGAGGGGAGTGGACAGGTAGCATCTGGACTCTGTAAGGACCTTCTGGCTGGCTGAAGTACATCTGTTCATGGCCTAGTCTTAGATAATAGTTACTATGTCAGGTCAAGGAGAGAGGAAGTGAAAGTGGCCCAACAGGACTTAAAATGTCACCAATGCAGGGCTTTTCCATTTACCTCCTGCTGTCTAGATCTTCTGCCTCTGCCCACTGTTGTAGCATGAAGGAAGAAAGCCTCAGACTCTGCAGAGCCCAGAGCCCACAGGGCCTTCTGGGGCCTTATGCTAAGCAGAACTGCTCTGATTAGGGGGCGTATGGACACAGCCCAGGGTGCACCAACAGCCAGGCTGGCTCTGGAAGACCTGGAGCTGCTAGACACCAGGCTGGTAGAATTGCACATTGAGGTGGGCCAAAGAGGACACACACTGTATGTGCACAGTAGCTAGGGTTTTCCTTGCTGCCTCTGTGTAGGCAAAGAAGGAAGATGGGTGCAATTTCCAGGTTCCCACGAAGCCCAGCGAATCTGTCTTTCCAAGCTATCTGCTGTCAACTGGGAGACAGATGAAGACTCCATGTGGCTGTGCCCATCACAGAAACACAGGGGGTTTTCCTAGAGGGCTCAACTTTGCTTTTGGCAATGTCTCCTCTGTAGTAGTCAGGAAAAGCTCAGAAGCAGCAACCCCACCCTGATCCAATGTAGACAGAAAACTCCCTGTCTGCCAGAGCTAAGAGTCAGGTAGGCTGAGGGCATATGGGCTAGTTCCTCAGCTGTTCTCAGAGACCAAGAACAGGCAGCAAAGGCAGCCTGACAAAGCTTCCTAGAAACATTCTTCCTATCTACAGGGCTAGCTCTGCCATCTGAAGGAATCTGTGGAAGGGGCTGAGGGCTCTGCTAACTAACCTGGAAGCCCCATCACAGAACTGGAATAGGGGAGAGGGAGTCCTGCCTCCAGTCTCTCTGTGTTCCTCCTACATATATTCAAAGTTCCTCCTACATATACAGACCCCTCAAGAGAGCTGCTTGCAAAAGCACTTTTCCCATGTATCCTGGCTACCTTAGCACAACTAGACTCACCTTCTGGACATTGTTCTTTAAGGAACGGTACCCAAGTCATAGCAGCAGCCTCCTGGGAATACGGTAGAAATGCAGACTCTTAAACTCTGGGTAGGAAGGTATATTTTAAAAGCATCCCCCAGTGTGCGGATTCCTACTAGCAAGAGAACATTCCCAGGGCAGGCCATCTGAGGAGCAGTTTAAAATACCTGGGCCTTGCCACCTCTCAGACCAATGACATGTGACATCCCTGTGTCCTCCCAGGCATCAATGGCCTTTAGAGCCACTCAACCCTTCTAAACAGGCCTGTAATCCCAACTACTTAGAAGGCTAAGGAAGGAGGGTCACAGGTTCAAGACCTGCCTTGACTACTGAGTAAAATACTGTCTGAAAATGTAGTAAGTGAACAGAAGACCAGGCATGGAGATATACGTCGACGGTAATGGAGTGCCTAGCATACAGAAAGCTTTAGGTTCAATCCCCCAGGGCTCCCACTTCAGCCCATCACTCAGTGATTCTAAAGTTCAGCCCAGGCTGAGAACCACCTCACAACCAGGACACAATTACCATGCGCCTTGCATGAGGGACTCTAATTGCCAATTTCATTTCATCTTTGGCACCATCCTGGTGCTATTTCCCTGTCTTACAGATGTGAAAACTGTCTCGGGGGGTTGGACTGGGGGAATTGGGGTCAGGATTCTGTAAGCACCAAATAGGCCAGGCTGGGATCTTCTAGTTACTAGTAGAAGCCTGGAAGTAATTTCCAAAATTTAATTCTGCCTCCAATGTATGTGCCACCAATTCGCCCTCCTCTCTAGCGCTTCCAAAGCCTTCCCTCCCCTCTCAACTCAAGAGCTCTGTCTGCCACCTGCTCCTTATCTACTTGGCCTGCCTACAGCAGTGGTCAAGAGCCAAGCCGCTATCTGTGCCGTGTAAAGGAGACAGGATGCCTGTCTGGCTCTGCTTGCCCAGCCTGGGAATGGCCCTACCATTCACCAAACGGCTGGAGGTCAGGCTCCAGAATGGCCTGAGTTGATCCCCATGACAGCGTTGTGACTTACATAAGCCTAGCTGGATTAGGAAGAATTCCCACCACAGGAGTGGAACCTGGGCCCAAAAGAGAACATCAACTTGTTAACTCCCACAGCGTCAACTGCCCAACTACAACTTGAACCCAGGACTTCAGAATCCCTATATGGAGTTCTTTGCCCTCCTTGAACTCTATGATAGACATGTTTGTCTTCCTTCCTTCCCTCTTTCCTTCCTTCCTTCCTTCCTTCCTTTTTCCTCACAAGCCTCTTCTTTCATAGAAAACGCTTCACAGGAAGAGAGAAGTGCAGACAGCAGCATTGCCTGGTAGGAACCATTCAGTGGCCAGAGAAAGGCCTGGAAAGGGATGTGTTTCATGGGTCCACTGTGCACTCCCAGGGTGAGGTCAAGGAACCCTTCCTGGAGATGTGAGGCCTTGACAGCCTGCTGCTGAGAAGCTGAGACAACAGCGCCAGCTTGACTGGAAGCCCTCCCTGAAGGGTGCCTTGGGCTTGAAGTAAGAAATGAAGGGGGGGGGGGGGCGGGAGAGATGATGGCTCAGTGGTTAGGAGCAGTTGCTGCCTTTACACAACACCTGGGTTGAATTCCCAATACCCAGACAGTGGTTTACAACCATCTGTAACTCAAGTCCCAGGGACCTATTGTCCTCTTCTGGCCTCCATGGGCAACGGTCACACACAGGGTCACATACATACATGAAAATACTAACACCTAAAATGAATAAATGTAATTTAAAAGGAAGGAAGGAAGAAAGTCATAGACCAGCTGAACCCAGACCTGACTAGGATGAGCCCTGTTCTGCTGTTCAGTCATCCCGAGACACCAGAATGACCTGGAGAGAAGGTGACTGTACCTAGTTTAGAAAGCTCCCTGCTAGAGCTGGGCACAGTGTTTATGTCTGTTATTCATCCAGGTCCAGTGGATGGCTTCTTAGGGTTTCCTAAAGGAGCCTGGCTTTTACACAGTCAATCCAACTACAGTGAGGCATATGCTATCTTTTGAAAGACAGATGAAGGAAGGAGGGACAAGTAAGTGGGGGATGGAAAGAGAGAACGAAGAGAAGAGGGACAAAAGACCACAAGGCTGTGGCAGGAGGGGAGGACGCGCCATTAGACCTCTGTCCCTAGGAGACTTTGGAGGGCTGGTCAGGGTCATGTTCTTGAGATAGACAGGGGATCTCAAGGTGAGATGCAAAGTAGGTGGAGTCTTACATGGGGCTTGTTCTTAACTGAAGACATGGGCTGAAGCAAAGAGCTGGACTGGCTGGAGGGATGCAGAGGCTTCTGGGGAGGGCAGTGGGCCCTGTGTAGGCACGAGAGAGGAAGAGAGAATGGGTGTGCCATGCACATAAGTGGCCAGGGTAGTAGCTGAAACTCTGGGCAGGGGCATCTGGAGAGCAGGAAGTGGAGCATCTCGCCTCAGGGAGGGAAGACCATCAGACTGTGAAGTTCCAGGAATCCCAGAGTTACTTGGAAAAGGGAATATAACTCTGGGGCCCTCACCCAGCCCCGGATGGCCATACCAGAGAGCCAGAGGAAAGGAGATGTGGGGCTCTCATGTTTCCTGGCTCTCCTTTCCCTGGCAGGGTCTAGCTGGGCCCTGGCAAAGGATCAGAACTCAACACTGGACTGAGTCTGAGTAGTAACCCAATGCTACGCTGGTCTGAATGGGGATGCAGGCTCCCCACCCTCCCCAGACCACTCTTCTCTCCTGGGTTTGAGCTGTTTGCCGGAATCTATTGCCACTTAAAATGCCTCCTTCCAGAACTTTCTGGGCAAAAATCCTGACTTCCCAAGGCCCTGTGCAAGCTGTGCACTGTTTCTGAAGCTTCCAGTCAAAGCAAGAGCTATTGCCCTCCCCTGTCCACTAGGGCCTTCCTCAATACATATTCTATCACTTGGGTCACACTGGAGGTAACTGCTCCATGCTAACTGAACATTCACGGAGGTTGCACATATCTAAGGTAGGAATATACGTGACATAACACTCCTAACCAATCTGTTTAGAGGATACTAAGAAGACTTCACAACAGTGCCTTGAAAGATGGGAGACATTACATGGTAAGCTAAGGCAGCTGAGCAAGACTCTGGACCACCCAAGAGCTAAGGTTTCCTCCCATACCTACAGAAAAGTTTTCACATGGCTGGGGCCTTGTCCACTGATATGGACAGCTAACTCTGAACTTGGAAGAATCTGGGGTGAAAGGGGTACTAGGATCACGAAGTAGGTTAGGAGATGTGGGTATGTAGCCTCCTTCCTCCAGTTATAACAGATAAACGACACACCCCAACTACCTGTAACTACATTTGGGGCCTCTTGTCCTCCCCCTACTCCAAGACCTTTTTGGGATGAGGGTCATGCCCAGTGGGCTGAGAGGAATGGCTGGGGTTCAGCCTGGGAGAGCAGGAAGGTCAATAAGAAAGAGAAGAGAGGGTGAGTGAGACGCATCTGACAGAATACTCTAACTGGAATGCTCTCACATTCCCGGGCCTGGGAAACTGAGGCTCATGGAGGGGAAGTCACCCAAGGTGACGCTGCACGCTGAAGGCAGCGGCAGGCTTTGAACCTCGGTGAGTCTGCTTTTGCGAGGCCTGGGAAAAGGACAGAAAGGAAGACTACAGGGGCCGCGGCGCGCCGGCTTTACCTGGTAGTTGTCGAGCTGCTCTTCAGTGAAGATGGTCTGCTTGTTCCCCATGGTGACCGCGGGGGTATGAGTGGCCGCGGCGTCGTCTCTCGCCCTTTCGAGTGCTGCTTCCCATCGGCGGGTTCTGGAGCCCCGAGCCCGGCGCCCGCGGCCCTTGCCAGCCCGGGAGCGGGCAGCGTCGCCAGCCTAGCCTGGCCCGCTCCTAGGTCCCGCAGTTCAGTGGGAGGGGTGCAGGGGCTGGGAGGGGAAGGCGGGGTCTGAGTCGGGGGCGGGCCTAAGTCGGGGCGGAGCCGGAGGGCGGGGCCGGAGGCGAGATTGGGGCGGGGCGCCGACTGGGGAAAGGAGGCGGGGCCTTAGACCTGTTTTGAGCGATCCGGGAGGTGACTTCTCCCTGGGGACAGAGGCGTGCTCATTTTTTGCTGCTGCAGCACACTGGGATGGCCAAGCGGTGGCCTCGGAGGGCCGTCTGACTCCTGGACACTGAATATGCCTCCTGTTCCAACCAGCACTCTGAGTGGCAGCCCGGGTCGGTCCTGGTGATTGTGAGCCAGAAAATCCCATGGATTAGTGTGGTAGAACAGTCACAATCCTCCCGCCTCTGATCCTAGACTGAGAATAGATGTGTTATTGAGCTTGCGGGATCACCTGTCAGATCCATCCTCAAAAAGCCGGTTTCGAAGGCCAGACTGAAAGTTGAAAACAGCCGGGCGGTGGTGGCGCACGCCTTTAATCCCAGCACTCTGGAGGCAGAGGCAGGCGGATTTCTGAGTTCGAGGCCAGCCTGGTCTACAGAGTGAGTTCCAGGACAGCCAAAGCTACACAGAGAAACCCTGTCTCGAAAAAAAAAAAAAAAAATTGAAAACAATAAAAGAAAATGGATTGGCCGGGCGGTGGTGGCGCACGCCTTTAATCCCAGCACTCGGGAGGCAGAGGCAGGCGGATTTCTGAGTTCGAGGCCAGCCTGGTCTACAGAGTGAGTTCCAGGACAGCCAGGACTATACAGAGAAACCCTGTCTCAAAAAACCAAAAAAAAAAAAAAAAAATGGATTCAAGGTGACCACACTAGGAAGAGGAACAAAAAGACTCAGGAAACCCCGAAGTCTGACTCTGGGGTCCTAAACTGAGATCAAAGTTTAAACTGAGGGCTAAGGATATGCTCATCTAAGGTGTCCTGGTCAAGATATGGTCCTGGTCACCACTGACCCAACATTGTTTGCAGTCTCTTTCTGGGAGTCAGAAGCAGGTGGATCTCTATGAGTTCCAGGCCACCCTGATCTACATAGTGAGCTCTAAGTTAACCAGGTATATATAGTAAGACATTGAATAAAAACAAAACAAACAAACAAAGAAAAACACAGAAAAAGAAGGGAGAAACAATTCCTTTCCAAGAGACGAGTCTCCCCTTGCTGATGTATAATGCATTTTCCTTCCCCCAGGATGAGATTTCTGTGGAAATTCTCATCTTTTTGAGGTCCATCATTTCAACAATCTGATAGGCAGATAGAGAAATGTGAGTGTCTCTTTAGAATCTCTGCATTTCTCCAGGCTGGTTACAAGAGGATCCAGATAGGACCTGCTTCTACAACCTGTGCTGACCTTGGACAAGCACTTCGTTACCAGCCGATTCCAGAGGAGCAGGCCTGAGACAAGGTCCTCTGAAATCCTCTTGGAGGGTGGAGATGGGGCTGCCATAGAATGTCCTAAAATATTCAGAAGACCCTGGGCTCCATCTCCAGCAGGAAAAAGAAGAAATAGGGGCGGAATCAGGGGTTGGGGGCGGGGTAGTGTAAAAACTTCAAGCCTAGCAAGCACCTGACCTTTAACCTAGAGTATGGAAGCATCTCAGGAGGAGGAAAGGACATGCTTGGCTTCCTTTGCTACTTGAGAAAATCCAAATAACTTACTACATTCAGAGAAATGTGTCACAAACCAGAAAGTTTTCTTGGGATTTTAATTAAATGTATTGTAAGAGAAATAAAACCCTTTGAGAGTATCAGTCTGAAACTGAACACTAATTTGTTATAAAAACAAATTTAGGGCAGACAAACATACAGGTTTATTCACTGTATAGTCAACTGGGCATGGAAATCTTTATTAAAAAAAACAAAAAACAAAACAAAACAAACAAACAAACAAACAAAAACCCAAGCCAGATGTGGTGGCATACACTTATAATCCCAGCACTTGGGAGGCACAGGCAGGCAGCCTGGTCTACAGAGTGAGTTCCAGGACAGCCAGAGCTACATAAAGAAATCCTGTCTCAAAAACCAAAACCCAAATAGATATATTGACACTTGCTGTTTGTTTTTTTTTTTGTTTTTTTTTTTTTTTCTTCAGAGAGCTCGGGTTTGGTTTACCCCTCATCCACAGGGCATCCCACAGTTGTCTGTAACTCTATCAGGAATCTAATGGTCTGGATGCCCTCTTCTGGCCTCTGTGGGTACTGGATGCATGCAGTACACAGACATACATCCAGGCAAATACTCATACCATAAAATAACTGTTGAAAAAAGGAAACATAGATGACTGCAGACTCTACCTCAGCAGAGGAATGGGCTCTGGTAACAATAGGTTATACTACCCAGTTGGTTCAAGACATTAAGGAAAGTAACCAGATCAGCCCCTGTAGCCACTCTGCTAAGTGAGGCCTTCAAGAGATTTAATAATACAGGCAGGGCAAAATGAGGCTGACCAACGGCTTCCTAAATGATTGGCTATCTTCAGCCGCCCCATCAAGGTGGAAAAAGCCCTCTCAGAAACATGGAAGTTCAGGAGTCCTGGCAACCCTGGGGCCTACCAGTGGTCCACTAGGAAAGCTACTAGCAATGGGATTGTTTTTACTGTCTATTCTTGGGGCAACCAGACTGCATGAAACCTGAGTCACAGGCTCCTGGTGGCCCTGCTGGAAGGTAAATCCATCACAGGTTGCCAAAGCTGAGATTAGCTACATGAATGTGGTTTCCTGTAATCCCAGCACTAGAGACACAGAGGCAGGAAGATCAGAAGTTTGAGATTTTCCTTAGCTACTCAGCTGTTTCAAGGCAACCTGAAGTACATGAGTTCTGTTATCTCAGAAAACAAAATATAGTAACTAAAAGTAATTAGCTGGGGAGTAGTGTAGTGGCAGAGAGAGCTAGCCTAGCATGCATGAGGCCCTGGGTTCAGTCCCTAACACCACAAAAACAAACAAACAAACAAAACCTATACACCAATATTGCTCAGTTTTGCCTAGCTTACATCACTTTGGGGGCCATGAGTCACTGTTCTTCTACTCTTAATTTTTTTTTTAAGATTTTTTTTGTTTGTTTTTCGAGACAGGATTTCTCTGTGTAGCCCTGGCTCTGTGTGTGTGTGTGTGTGTGTGTGTGTGTGTGTGTGTGTTTAAAGGTGTTAGAAAAGAAAAATATAGCTGTGAAACAGAGGAGGAGAAGAAAGCTCGTAAGATTCTTCCCTGCTTGGGGACTTCGTGCCCTTGTCTTGCTGTAACTCCACATAGCTCAGAAAAGCTCTGAACATCAAAGACAGAACTCAATATAAGAAGAACCTTCCCAATTGAGGAAGCCTGAAACTCACTTAGAGGGAATAAAATAGGCATAAGAAGCAGATGGAGGGAGGGAACTGGGAGAGGGATGGGGAGGGATTCAGGATCAGGTATGGAGAAGGGCAGGAGAGACGCCTAGAGGGCCATGAAAATGAATGGAAATCTACAACTGATGGGGGTGGGGACATCTCCAGGATGAGGCAGAGGCCTGGGACAAGGTAGGCACCCAAGAATCAATGGAGATGACCTTAGCTGTAACTTACTACATTAGGGAGATGGAACTTAAAGAGGCCACCTCCTGTAGCCAGGAAGGAACCCCAGTGGAGGGATATAGACACCAAACCACTCACAAAAATTTTAACCCCAAATTTATCCAATCTACTAAAAATGCAGGTATGGGGGATGGAGCAGAGACTGAGGGAATGGCCAACCAATAATCAGTCCAACCTGAGTCCCATTCTATGGGCAAGCAGCAATCCCTGACACTATTATTGATAGTATGTTATGTTTGCTTCCTCTGAGAGGCTCCACCCAGCAGCTGACTCAGACAGATACAGACACCCACAGCCAAACATTGGGTAGAGCTTGGGGACTCTTACGGAAGAATAGGAAGAAGGATTCCAGGGCCTCAAAGGGAATAGGAACTCCACAGGAAGACCAACACAGTCAACTAACCTGGACCCTTGGGACTCTCAGAGGCTGAACCACCCACCAACCAAAGAACATATCTAGGCCTCCCCACACATATGTAGCAGCCGTGTAGCTTGGTCTTCATGTAGTTCAACTGGAATGGGGGTTATACCAAAAGCTGATGTCCGTACATAGGATATGTTTTTCTAGCTGGACTGCCTTGTCTGGCCTCAGTGGAAGAGGAAGCACCTAGCATCACAGAGACTTGAAGTCCCATGGGGAGGGGTGGGGAAGGCCAATACCTGAGAGGTGTACCCACTCAGAGGAGAAGGGGAGGAGGGGATGGGAAAAGATTTTTGGAGAGAGTGACCAGGAGTGGGAGCAGTGAGTGGGATGTGAAATAGATAAGTAAAAAATAATATTTTTTTAAAAGGGGCCTTCAAAGTGTACCTTGTTTCTTAGGCTCTTATTTCTAAATCACAAGGGAAGTTGTACCCCAGAGTTTCTGATTTGGTTGCTGAGGTTGTATCTGACAAGTTCCTAGCTGCTGCTGGACCACACCTGAACCTCTGCTCAGGCTTAGGCTGTGGTTTGTTAAGGGAGTGGCCAAAGCTTGTGGGAGGGCTTCATGAAGGTTTGTGGGTTTTCATAACTGGTTGGGGCTTTATTCTGTCGGCTCCTGGTGAGAGCAGCAGACAGGCCACCCTACAGGAACTGCAAATGTTCCTGGAGGCATTGCAGTCAGGAGCTATGGGGTCATCAGGAAGCAATTAAGCAGCCCAGGAATACATTTAGCTGTCTTCAAAGGCCACCTCACCCTCTTACACTCAGTGTAGACAAAGGAGACCTTAGCTGTGGGAAAGAAGCAGGTCTGTCCTCTGGGATTCAGGGAACCAGAAGCCGT